CCAGGACCTCCACTTGGGTCTCCCAGGGCCGTGGCCAGCCTGCAAATCACCATAGGCCCCTCGCCCAGGCCATCCTACATCCCAAAGGAACCCCCACCGTGATCCAGGACATCCTTCAGGGCAAAGCAGCTGGCCCCCACCTGTGCATTAGGCCTCTATCCTAGCTAATAAAAGTAATATGCAGACTGACCATCACTCCAACACACAAGATGGCTGCCTCCAGGTGAACACAAGATGGCCAGCAAAGGATGGCAGTTGAGAGGACCAGGTCTGTAAGTGAGGGCAGTTAGAGGAGACTAGGCCAGCAGAGGAGGGAAGTTGGGGGTGACCAGGCCTGCAGGGGGCAGCAGTTAGGGGCAAACAGGCTGGCAGGGGAGCAGTTGGACATTAATCAGGTTGGCAGGAGAATGGTTAGGGGGTCATCAGGCTAGCAGGCAGAAGCAGTTAGGGGCAATCAGGAAATCAGGAAGGCAGGCAGGCGAGCAGTTGGGAGCCAGCAGTCTTGAATTGTGAGAGGGATGTCTGACTGCCCATTTAGGCCCAATCCCAGTGGGCAGTGAGATAGCCCTCTTGGGGTCCCAGATTGGAGAGGGTGTAGGCTGGGTTGAGGACCAACCCCCCCTCCGTGCACAAATTTCATTCACTGGGCCTCTAGTCCTATGTAATAAAACACTAATATGCAAAGTGTCCCCTTAGGAGTTCGACCAGGAGACCAGGAGTTCAATCACTCACTGTGACATGCACTGACCATCAGGGGGTGGTGTATAACATGGCAGGAGACCAGAAGGATGCTGAGGGAGCAAGGGAATTTGATCAGGACTCTAGTTATCATAGATATTTACTCGGTTTTTCTATATATTACCTTGGTTTATCCTCTGAATTTGTCTTCTTAAAACTTATACTAGGAAATACTTATCACTTACACTTATTATCATTGGCCAAACAAGGTACCTGCCATGTCTGAGTTCTTCATTGTTATTCTTCATTTAGGAGATCCTGTTATTAATGAACTAGGGATCCAGTGCACGAATTTGTGCACCTTGAAAGGAACTTTGGGCTGCAAGGTAGCAGTGGGAACAGAGGCGGGTCTTAGCCCATCTCCATGCCCTGCCCCTTCCGCCGCAGCCCCTGGTCCTCTGTGTGACAGCAGCCCTGCTCCCGCTGCTGCCACTCCCATGTGCTGATAGTGCCAGCCCGGCTGATGAAGTGGAGTGATTGGGGCTGGCACTGTCAGCAGGTCTAAGTGGTGGCTGCTGCCCTGATGACCCATCAGGAGCAGGGGAAGATGGAGAAGCCCTGAGGGGTGATTGGGGCCTGTAACTGCTGCTTGCACTCGCTGATGGCATAGAGTCCTGGCAGCAGGTGTGAGCAGCAGCTCTGACACTGGCAGCAGATGCAAGTGGGGCTGCTGCCCCATCTTGGTCTGTCACCCCATTTTGATCTGTCACCCCTGCTCACCTGATCCACCATCCCACCGTGGCCAATGCCCGCCATGTTCCTCACACACCCCCTAGTGGTCAGCATATGTCATAGCGATCGGTTGTTCATGTTCAGTCTATTTGCATATTAGCCTCTTATTATATAGGATAGGGTGGTAATACTGTTTACCTCAATTTCTTCTCTCTTCACTTTAATTTCTAAGGTATTTTTTCTTTATGTTTCTTGCTTACAAAATTTTGTTTGTTTCACTGATAAAATATATTTTTACTAGAGGCCTGGTGCATGAATTTGTGCAACAGTGGGGTTGCTTGTCCTGGCCTGTGGGATTGGGCCGAAACCAGTTCTCCAACATCCTCCGAGGGGGTCCAGATTGCAAGAGAGTACAGACCAGGCCAAGGGACCCCACCAGTGCACAATTGGTGCCGGGAGGGACTTGGGAAGTTGGCTAGCTGGGGAGAGACCATGGAAGGGCCTCAGGGCATCTCTGGCCTATTTCACTCAGTGCCAATTGGTCGAACCCCAGCAGCAAGCTAACCTACCAGTTGTAGGATCTGCCCCTGGTGGTCAATGCTCATAATAGTGACTGGTCAACTGGTTGACTATCTGCCCCCTGGTGGTCAGTCAGTGCACGTCATAGCGACTGTCGACCAGTCAACTGCACCCTGTTGATCAGTGCACATCATAGTGAACAGTTGATCAGCCTTAGCATATCCTATCTAATAAAAGAGTAATATGCAAATTGACTATCACTCCCAACACACAACATGGCCATCCCCATGTGGACACAAGATTGCCAGTAGGGGAGGTTAGTTGTGAGTGATCACTCCAGCAGGGGAGGGCAGTTAGGGGTGACTAGACTGGCAGGGGAGGACAATTTGGGGGGGCAGGCCTGCAAGGGAGCAGTTAGGCATTGATCAGGCAGGGGAGTGTTTAGGGGGTGATCAGGCTGGCAGGCAGAAGTGGTTAGGGGCAATCCAGACAGGCAAGCAAGCATTTGGGAGCCAATAGTCCTCAATTGTAAGAGGGATGTCCGACTTCCCATTTAGTCGGACGTCCCTTGAAGTGTCTCAGATTGGAGAGAGTGCTGGACTGAGGGACACACCCCCCATGCACAAATTTTGTGTATTGGGCCTCTAATCATTAACATGTTATGCTTTGATTGGTTGAATGGTTGATACTTAGCATATTAGGTGTTGTTATATAGGATAACAGTGATTGGTTTTAAGTTTCTGTTGTTTATTTAGCCTTTTATTTCTTTAGAAGATTTTTTTTTTCTCTTGATGTTGATCTTTCATGTTAGTGATATTCCTCAAATGTCTGTGGAATATTGGCTATACCGTCATATTTAAGAATTATTCACTAATAGGTAAACTCTTGTGCCTGGGTTCTTCTAATCCTCTGGTAGGTTTCAATAGATGGAAAGAAAAATGCCTTATGGATCCAGAGTCTCCTTGAAGGAGAATTATACTGTTTTTATTCTCAAGAACTTAGGTTTAGCCAGATCCTTTGTTTTAGCAAAAGAAGTGAATACACTCAACAGTTATTGTCTTAGAGGGGCATTCTACTGAGGCTTTTCATGGTGCTTTCAGTTTGTTTAGAGAAAGATCTTTTCACGTTCTTCTCACATATTTACATATACCTAGTTGCCAACATTTATTTTTGCATCATTTCCGGAAAGATGGTGATGGTCTCACCATATTATATACAGATTTAATCACATTGGTTTCAGTGTAGCACCTCTTCCATGACATTTCATTTATTTAGTATCCCCTGAGTCTGAAGCTTCTCTGATTAAATTTATGCAAAGTATAACTTCCATTTCATATAAACGATTGTTCCTGTGTCCTCACTGGGTGTGTAGTGGTCCAACTGCTCCTACAACATTTTTTTTCAACCACCATCCTTTATTTCTTATTCGAGGTATTGATTTCCCTCCATTTTTTGAGTCTTTGATAATTTGTGGCACATATTGGCTTGCTGACCTTGGCATCCTCTTCTGCAATACCTTTGTTATTTTGACTTGCTGAGATCTATGTGTTGAAAATCTTTTATTTGACTTATGCTATTAAAAAATTGTTAAGCCCTAGCTGGTTTTGCTCAATGGGTAGAGTGTTTGCCTGCGGACTGAGGGATCCCAGGTTTGATTCCAATCAAGGGCACATGCCAGGATTGCAGGCTCAATCCCTAGTAAGGGGTATGTAGTAGGTAGCTGAGCAACAGTTCTTCTCATCATTGATGTTTCTATCTCTCCCTCTCCCTTCTTCTCTAAAATCAATAAAAAAAATATTTTTAAAATTGCTAATATCTGTGTATGTTGATGTCTTTTGTCATATTATATCCTTTTTTCTTGAGTGAACCATTTTGCCTTTTGTCGTTTAATGAAATTATTAGGGAATAATCCTTCCCCTTTTTTGGTATCATAGCTAGACTGTCTCAGTTTAATTCTTCATTGTTTGTTACATTCACTGCTTGAATTATGAAATGAGAAATGTTTTGCAAGAGTTATCTAAATTTTGTGAACCAATGAATATTAATTTTCTACCTAGGTATCCTTCCCAATGGTTTCCTTCTCAAAACTTAGTTGAAGACATTGGACATGAGGCTTCTTTTATATTTTGAAATGGGCTAGCAGAGTTAATCACAAAAAGTACAATGTGAAGTTTTATTGCTAGTAATGGTAAATTTATAAATAATGATAACATAATGCTAACATTTATTGGTGATTACCAGGTGCCGCCTGCAGTTCTAAGCACTTTATACATTAACTCTTTAATGATGTTTCTTTTGTATTTCATTTTAGAAAAAGCCTGAGAAGATGAAGAGCAGCTAGAGGGGCAGCAAGACTTTGGTCACATTGCATCCATCTTCAGTAAAGTACAGACTGAGGGAAATTTAAGAAAATTGGAAAAATACTTCCTCTGATTTTAGACCTTTTATCTTTTAAAGACAACATTCTTTCTTACATAGAAAAAAATTGAAACAGAATTAGACTTAATCATGAGGACATTGTGTAGGAACAAATCATCAATTTTATTGATTTGAAAATCTTGCCACACTTTCTCCTTATGGTAATAACCCTGTTTAAATGTAAATCAGTGTAGAAGTGCCTTCAGTTAAAAAGTTTGAACCCCATCAGATACCAGAACATTTGTGCTAGATTCATACCCTGTGAACTTACTGAATGTGGGAGTACTTTCACTTGTGTCACACCTTATGAATTGTAGAAGTCGGGCTGGAGAAAAACCCTGTGCTTCTAAGGGATATTGAAAAATCTTTAGGTAGATGACATTTCACTGAGCAGAAGAAAAATTCATACTGAAGAGAAACCACTGAATATAGCAATTCACTGAGTATTAGAATATTTATACTTTGAGAGAAAGCTTTGAACTTGGTACAATAAAATTTTATCTCACATCTATCCTTTACTTTGAAAGTCACACACAGAGAATATCTACTAATGTAAGAAATGTGGAAATACCTTCAGCCAAAAGTAAATCCTCATTTATCAAAAAATTCATACAGGAAAGAGAACTTGTGAATGTTGGAAAGCTTCTTTTCAGATGTCACAACACAGTCAGCAGAGAATTTGTAGTGGGGAAAACCCCTTTGCTTGTAAGGTATGTGGAAAAGTCTTCAGCCACAAATCAAATCTCACTGAGCATGAACATTTTCATAATAGAGAGAAACCTTTTGAATGTAATGAATGTGGAAAAGCCTTCAGCCAAAAGCAATATGTTATTAAACATCAGAACACCCATACTGGAGAGAAGCTTTTTGAATGTAATGAATGTGGAAAATCGTTCAGCCAGAAGGAAAACCTTCTTACCCATCAGAAAATTCACACTGGTGAGAAACCTTTTGAGTGTAAAGATTGTGGGAAAGCTTTCATTCAGAAGTCAAACCTCATCCGACACCAGAGAACTCACACAGGAGAGAAGCCCTTTGTATGTAAGGAATGTGGGAAAACCTTCAGTGGCAAATCAAACCTTACTGAGCATGAGAAAATTCATATTGGTGAGAAACCCTTTAAATGCAGTGAATGTGGAACAGCTTTTGGGCAAAAGAAGTATCTCATAAAGCACCAAAACATTCACACTGGAGAAAAACCTTATGAATGTAATGAATGTGGAAAAGCCTTCTCTCAACGAACATCACTTATTGTACATGTGAGAATTCATTCAGGTGATAAGCCTTATGAATGCAATGTATGTGGGAAAGCTTTCTCTCAAAGTTCATCTCTTACTGTGCATGCAAGAAGCCATACAGGTGAGAAGCCCTATGGATGTAATGAATGTGGGAAAGCTTTCTCTCAATTCTCAACCCTTGCTCTGCATTTGAGAATTCACACAGGAAAGAAACCTTATCAATGCAGTGAGTGTGGGAAAGCTTTCAGCCAAAAATCACACCACATTAGACACCAGAAAATTCATACTCATTAAAACCTCTGTAAATATCTTAAAAATTGGAAAGTAATTCATTGGGAATTTATAGCTTGTGGCAAGCATGTCAAAGTAATCATTCTGAAGAAAAGTGTCACAAATAAGCAAAAACTAAAACCATATGGGATACCATAAAATTCATACTGAAGATAAAGTTATAAAAACCCTATGCCCAGCAAAAAAAAACACAAAAACCTTCAGGTAAAATAATGATGAAACTTAAGACACTTTTCTGCTAAAATTGGGAATGGGGAAACATGCTTATTACTTTATCATCTGCCTTGATCTGGAGATCTTCACCATAGTAATAACAATAAGTTATACATGTTAGAAAGGCAAATACTTTATTATTTTAACAGAAGAGAAGAGATTCTGAAATACCTATGCATTTATTAGAATTTAGAATTGGAGAAGATAATGGGACTGTTTAAAAAATGATTTGGAGGTGGTTGATTCTTCAAGGAAGAAAAAATTATGAACTATACATAAAGGTAAAATCTGTGGAGATTAAAAAGAGGACTATGGCCCTGCAGGTGAGCCTCAAACCATGAACCAAGACGTCAATTATTCCATTCCCACTCAGGGCACATACCTGGGTTGCAGGCTTGATCCCCAATAGGGAGTGTGCAGAAGGCAGTCAATCAGTTTTGATGTTTCTCTCCTCTGAAATCAATAAAAACACATTTAAAAACAAGCAATCAGGACTATTAAAAAGCTGCATACTGAAGTGATTATGACCCTAGGAGTAGGAAAACATTCCTTATAATGAATTAAAAGTATGTAGCTTTTCCACTCTTGAGTTTGTATGCTCAGGAAATATGTACCAGGCTATTTACTGTGGCATGATTTGTAGTAGCCAATAAGTTGGAAACAAATGCCCGTCAGTAAAAAAGTAGAAAGTACTTATGATGGGATATATAACAAATGAGATCTATATGTATTACAGAGAATTGTATCAAAAACGTTGAGGAGAATGAAGAAATAGAATGACAATTGTGATACCACGACATTTTTGTAAATTTGAATTAAAACCTCCCTTACGCCGAAACCGGTTTTGCTCAGTGGATAGAGCGTCAGCCTGCGGACTAAAAGGTCCCGGGTTTCGATTCCGGTCAAGGACATGTACCTTGGTTATGGGGACATGCCCAGTAGGGGGTGTGCAAGAGGCAGCTGATCGATGATTTTAACTCTCTGTTCCTCTCTCTTCCTCTCTGTAAAAAAATGACAAAATATATTTAAAACTTCCCTTACAAAAATTCAGTACTATATATTGGTAATAGATACATATATGTATGTATGTTTTTTAAATGGATTGCAAGGATAAAGATCAAACTCATGATAGTGGCTGTCTGTGAAGAATTAAAAAAGGAAGGGGATGAGTGTGGGAGGGGTAAAATGGGAAATTGGTTAAAGAGGACTTCATTTTTTGTATGTAAACATCCACTTCTCTAAAAAGCAGAGGAGACTGTGGATCAATATATATAAATACTGGATAGTTCTGGATTGTGGAATATGGATACCTTGTCTTATTTTTTTGTACTTTTCTGTATTTTTAAAGTTTCTCAAAATCATGAGGGTGAGGATGGGATCACTACCTATAGAAATCATGTTCCAATGGATTTATTCCCAATCAAATGTAAACTTTTTATAGAAAATATTTCTAAAATTTTATCATTGATGAGTAGATGGACTTGTTCTCTATGTAGTATGAAATTATCTATTTTATTAAAATTAAAAATGATAGCATAATCCAAATCTGTTTAATTTATTTTTACATGTCAGTGTATACTATATGTTTGTCTACACATTTTACAACATCCTTTGAGCTTAGAAAATTTTGATAACTTTTAGTTAAAATTTACACAGCCTTTGTGTAACTTGTCTTTTTAGATAAACTTTCTAGAATGTCAAATTTCCTGTCCTGTAAATTACCATGGGAACAGTGTGTGCATTAAAAATAAGTTTGTGATTGTTTTATTTTAAAAAGAAATGCATTTAACTTCCCACAACTTCCACAGTTTGAGTTAAATGCTAACACCTGGATCTCAGTTATAACCTTCAGACTTTCATTCCTCCCAGTACTTGGACAAATACATCCTTTTCGGTCCATCTGACCCCCACCCAGCTTTATTGAGTTGTAATAGTAATCAACAAATAAAGTTGTAAGATGTTTAAAGTGTATAATGTGATGATTTTATATACATAAGCATTGTGAAGGGAATGCCCCCAACAGATCCTCCCTCCCCATCAAGTTACTGTTTGTTTCTTTTACAGGAGTGTAGAGGATAGGATGTATATGAGAAAAGTTGTCCACACCCTGAACAGAATTCTATTATGTAAACCAATCCTTCCTGAAAATGTATTTTCTTTGGTCCATATTTATAGTATAATTTGATATAAATATTATTAAGTTTTCTTACATAATGGTGGCCATCAGCAATACAGCATTTTAAGCTTGATTTAAAAAGCTGCTTTTAAGAAAGCTTTTAAACATCTTAATACCACCTCATAACTGTGTATTTTGTTGTTGTTGTTAAGCTTTTATGAAGGAATGACCATGAATTATATACTTAATTATCTAAATGAAATTTAGTCCTTTCTAATATTGAGCCCCTCTACAACCTTTTTAAAAAGAATGTTTTATACTAAAACTAAGAAATTGAGCCAGATATTTGTGCTCCATTTAAAAATTACCTGCATTTGTCACCCAAAAAAGGAAAAACAAAGATTTTAGCCAAAAGATAGGTTTTCCTATGATTTTTCGCTCCTTAATCTCTTGTGCTTCACTTAGCTCTGAACTCTGCTCATGTGTTATTGTAACTTTGTAGTCAACAGAATAAATCATGACCAAAGACAAAACCAGGGAATACCTTAATAATGTATTTATGGGCCATGGCCTAGGGCTGCTGCCCTAGTAAGACTAGTTGTTTTGACCTATAGAGGGAAGTTGAATCTGAAATTCAGAATCATTTTTTTATAATAAATATTTATTGTTCAGATTATTACAGGTGTTCACTTTCCCCCCCACCCCCTTCTTCCCCCATGGCTACTCTCCACTTGATCCCCAACTCCACACCATGCCCTTACCCCCGCTCCTGTCTTCATCCATAGGTGTAAGATTCTTGTTCAGTCTATTCCCTCACCCCCTGAGAATTGTTAGTCCAATCCCTTTCTATGTCCCTGATTCTATTCACTAGTCCATTTTGTTCTTCAGATTTTTTTTTTTAACTTTTTGGGCATTTTTATTATTTGAAAATGATCTGATGCCATTAGTATATTCTTATTCTACTTTTAAACTTCGTTTTGTGTAAATCCAGTTGATTTATTTTTTATTTTATTTATTTATTTATTTTTACATATTTTATTGATTTTTTTTTTTGCCCCCCTCCTTCCCTCCCACATATCCCCTCCCTCCCCAGAGTTTTATGTCCATTGGTTGTACTTATATGCATGTATACAAGTCAGTGGGTTGATTTATTATCTCCCCCAGACCCTCCTCCCCTCCCCGCTATTTGACAATCTGCTTGTTGCTTTACTGTCTCTCATCTATCTTTTGGTTTATCAGTTTATAATGATCTTTATTATCCACAAATGAGTGGGGTCATGTGGTGTTTCTCTTTCATTGATTGGCTTATTTCACTCATCATGATGTTCTCCAATTCCATCCAGGTTGCTGCAAATGATGAGAATTCCTTTTTTATGGCAGCATAGTATTCCATTGCGTAGATGTACCGTAGTTTTTTGGTCCAATCATCTGCTGACGGGCACCTAGGCTGTTTCCAGATTCTGGCTATTGTAGATTGTGCTGCTATGAACATAGGGGTGCATATATCCTTTCTGATTGGTGTTTCTAGTTTCTTGGAATATATTCCTAGGAGTGGGATTACTAAGTCAAATGGGAGTTCCATTTTCAGTTTTTGAGGAAACTCCACACTGTTCTCCACAGTGGTGCACCAGTCTGCATTCCCACCAGCAGTGCACGAGGGTTCCTTTTTCTCTGCAACCTCGCCAACACTTCTCCTTTGTTGATTTGTTGATGTTGGCCATTCTGACAGGTGTGAGATGGTACCGCATTGTTGTTTTGATTTGCATCTCTCGGACAATTAGTGACTTTGAGCATGTTTTCATGTGCCTCTTGGCCTTCCTTCTGTCGTCTTTTGTAAATATTCTATTTAGGTCCATTGCCCATTTCTTAATTGGATCATTTATCTTCCTTTTATTTAGTTGTATCAGCTGTCTGTAGATGTTGGAGATTAAACCTTTATCAGTGGTGTTATTTGCAAATATGTTCTCCCACACCGTGGGCTTCTTGTTTTGTTGATGGTTTCTTTTGCTGTAAAAAAACTTATATTTTGATGTAGTCCCATTTGTTTATTTTCTCTTTAGCTTCCATTGCCCTAGGGGCAGTATCAGTGAAGAAGTTCTTTTGGCATACGTCTGAGATTTTGCTGCCTGTGGATGCTTCTAGTATTTTTATGGTTTCCCGTCTGATATTTAAGTCCTGTATCCATTTTGAGTTTATTTTTGTGTATGGTGTAAGTTGGTGATCTAGTTTCAATCTTTTGCATGTGTCTGTCCAATTTTCCCAACACCATTTATTGAAGAGACTGTTTTGACTTCATTGTATATTCGTGCCTCCTTTGTCAAATATTAATTGAGCATAGTGATTTGGGTTGATATCTGGGTTCTCGATTGATCTATATGTCTGTTTTTGTGCCAGTACCAAGCTGTTTTGAGAACAATTTTTTTAAATTATTTTTATTGTAGTTAATTTCCAGTTTTATGCCATTATGGTCTGAGAAGATACTTGATACGATTTCTATCTTCTTAAATTTAAAGAGACTTTGCCTATGTCCCAAAATGTGGTCTATCTTTGAGAATGTCCCATGTGCATTTGAAAAGAATGTATATTCTGTGTCTTTGGGGTGGAGTGTTCTGAAGATGTCAATTAATTCCATCTGGTCTAGTGAGTCATTTAGGATTGACATTTCTTTGCTGAT